GTACTAACAGAAAAATGTAATTCTTTTTGTGGGGTAGGAGAGTACGACCGTTGGCTTCATTGGGGCTCAAAGTCAGTGTCCCCCATCATCAGAATCCATGGTAATGTTCCACTGCAAGTGCTGACCTGTAATGAGCTTATGTGTTTCACGTGAAAATGTCTTCGCAATGACGGCTACTGGTATCAATTCGTGAGCGTTTAATTTTAATAGAGCACGTTCCTTACTTGGAAGGCGTCTAGAGAATGCTATTCGATTTTTCTCCTGATACTTGTGTTCAGTGCACGTTGATACACTGCAGATTCGTCACTTCTAACTAAAGGTTAGGTGGAAGGTCACACCTGCCAGTAACTGGGTTTTTGAACTATGGACACTTCCTTAGCACATGCATCAAATCCCAGAAACTGCTGCTAACTGTAGTGTGAGCTCAAAAAGTCTATGTGCTGCAAATCTGTGTGGAAATAGAGATCTCATTTCTTTTTACTTTTGATGGCATGAGAATTAGATAAAGTAATTTGACATGACTTGCGATTCCAACAATGTTCGCTGTCAAAATGACTTCGCCAGAGTGTAAGTTTTGCATGTAAGTGCTGTTTTGTCTTACAATTTTAGGTAAAACTTATTTTTAAAACATATCAAGTCTACAGGAAAAGCTAATTTCAAAGCTATTGAATATTTTATACTAATGCGTGAGGGTGAGGTTTTTTGTTCAGAAATGTTTCGATCTTGGCCCTCTGCAACAAAATGTTGATACTGCAAAAGCACTGAATGGCTGAACAAAGAGCAAGTGAGGACATTCAGCTTTGGTTTCTGACGAAAATTCATGGATATGGTAACACTCGTTTCCGTAAGACTGAATGAAGTCCGCCAGTGATATTCCTGGTTCAGTAACAAATGATGGATTCAAGTGTTTGCTGCAAACTACCTGCTGATTAAGGAGACAATGAATACCCATGGGCTCTGGGCGCCGGATATCTTTATGTAACTTGTAAGTCTGTCTGACGAAGCCTCTTCCTACTCCACACCCACTTTCACCACTCTCTTATAATCTGTACTAGCAAATCCCAAGGCAGGTTGTAGCAACTTAGGGTTTCCTCAACGTCTCTGAAAATACGATTGGCTATAATTGTTCCACACCAAGTATTAGTAAAGGCTGATTCCTCAGGACCACAAATTCAGCACGCCTCCTCAAGTCACAACAAAAGAGCAGGACCTGTAACCTCTTCTACCTCAAGAGCCAAAAGCAACTGCTCAAAATCACTTCCTGGTTTTCAGAACAACCGCTCATGCTCCCAATGCTCCCCATTCTTGAAGCAACCGTTCCCCCAAAAGGCGAATACTGTGAGACAAGTTTATTTTCTGTGAACATGTTCCTTTGGCTGCAGAAGTCAAACGTGACTGAATTCACTCAATGCTGGTACATGGCCTTCCTGCATGGCTAACAAACGAGCCACTCAGAAGCTCACTATAGCTCATTTTGGTTTTTGTGAAGAAGTTCTATGGTGAAAAGATATTGTTTTGTATTTTTTACTTTCCTGACTGCTGCCTTCCTGGGAGCTGGGAAGGCCCCGTGGACGCTGGCCGGTCCAGCAGGCCCGCTGCGGTGCAGCAGCGTAGTCCCACCAGGCTGGCATTTAACTTGTTAACAATATCACCCCCACTGAGCTGTGCCTGCAAAGCAGACTCGGTGAAGTCTGCATGTGCACTATTAATGACATGAATAATAAAATGTCACAGGATCGCAAGACGTACGCCATCAGAAATGCTATCAAGTTGTTAACTGTCACTGAAATTTGTAGGCCGCTGAGCCCATTGAGAGTAACACACACGTGCAGTGTCTGCGTGTCATGGGGCCAGCAGCAGTCACGTGAGGCCGACTCTGCCGTCATCGTGCAAAAGCAGCCACTGACAATGTACAAACCAGCAAGAACAGCTTTGTCCCAACAGAATTCTATGGACACTGAAGTCTGAATTTTATAACACATATCACAAAACATTTTTTTGATTTTTTTTCAAATACGTGAAAATTCTTAGCTCGTGGGTTGTACAAAAATAGGTGGCGAGCCAAATTTGCACTGCAGGCCATAGGTGGCCAAAAACTGATCCAGAAAATAAGGACTGCCCAGGCAATACAATGCTGTTTACCTTCAGGAGCCCTAACCCCCTCCGTGGGTCACGCGACAACTCAAACCCAAAGCACACCAAATTAAATCCATCACCCTCCCTCTGCTCTACATTTTCCCTTCCCAAATATATTTCCCAACTCAATTCATCCACTGCTAAGCGCCGAATCCCCCAAGTCAGACGCTGGAAAATTCCAATTCACCCACTCTCTCCCCTGAGGCCCTCCTCGAACTCAGAATTGGTCCAAGCTCCTCAGCGCGCCGCCCTACAGTCTGGAAGCGCCATTCTGTACTCCTTGACGTCTTGCCGCTGGGATCACACTGGCTCCCTCAAACACCCCTCTTGTCCCTTGCCGCCACAGACTCCGCAAGGTCCTAAAACAGCCGTTTCATACTTGGGTCTGTGAGGGACACCTGAGTGAGCATGACCGAAGGCAGAAGGAAGAAGCTAAGAGACCAGTCAGGGCCGTTCCATTTCTGTACGCTTCACTGTCGAGGCTTACAGATAGAAAGTCATTCTAAAAAATACCCAAGAGTTCCATGACCCAAAAAACCCCACTGTTTTGAGAAACATGGCTGTGAAAGTCTAATTTCTTTACCATAACATGTAAGGTGCTATATGATGTGACTCTCTCAACTGTCTGTCCCCATCTCCAAACCCCTATTCTACCCTCTATCAGGGTGAACATAACAAGCTTCAATCTCCACACTTTGGCTCACCAAGCCCTCTCTGCCACTTCTCCCTTCTTGGTTTAGCTAATTTGTATTTGTCTTAGAATAGTCCTCATTTGAATAAATGTTATACTTTCTTCATCTGAAATAATCTGAAAATATTATTCATCTGATTTTGGATTTATTGTCTGGAACAGTAAGAAGAGAGATCCTTTGTCTTTCTTACTCCTGAATCTCCAGAATCTAGAAAACAGTGCCTAGCCAATGGCACATATCCAATAAACAGCTATCACATGAATAAGAAATCTTATTAATTTTTTTAAAGATTTTGAGAGATCTTTTGGGACTTCATCAAAATCAAAAGCTTCTGCACAGCAAAGGAAACAGTCAACAAAACAAAGAGGCAACCCACAGAATGGGAGAAGATATTTGCAAATGACAGTACAAACAAAAGGTTGATATCCAGGATCTATAAAGAACTTCTCAAACTCAACACACACAAAACAGACAATCATATCAAAAAATGGGCAGAAGATATGAACAGACACTTCTCCAATGAAGACATACAAATGGCTATCAGACACATGAAAAAATGTTCATCATCACTAGCCATCAGGGAGATTCAAATCAAAACCACATTGAGATACCACCTTACACCAGTTAGAATGGCCAAAATTATCAAGACAGGAAACAACGTGTGTTGGAGAGGATGTGGAGAAAGGGGAACCCTCTTACACTGTTGGTGGGAATGCAAGTTGGTGCAGCCACTTTGGAGAACAGTGTGGAGATTCCTCAAGAAATTAAAAATAGAGCTTCCCTGTGACCCTGCAATTGCACTACAGGGTATTTACCCCAAAGATACAGATGTAGTGAAAAGAAGGGCCATCTGTACCCCAATGTTTATAGCAGCAATGGCCACAGTCACCACACTGTGGAAAGAACCAAGATGCCCTTCAATAGACGAATGGATAAGGAAGATGTGGTCCATATACACTATGGAGTACGATGCCTCCATCAGAAAGGATGAATACCCAACTTTTGTAGCAACATGTACGGGACTGGAAGAGATTATGCTGAGTGAAAGAAGTCAAGCAAAGAGAGTCAATTATCATATGGTTTCACTTATTTGTGGAGCATAACAAATAGCATGGAGGACAAGGGAAGTTAGAGAGAAGAAAGGAGTTGAGGGAAATTGGAAGGGGAGGTGAACCATGAGAGACTATGGACTCTGAAAAACAATCTGAGGGTTCTGAAGGGGTGGGGATTGGGAGGTTGGGGGAACCAGGTGGTGGGTATTGGAGAGGGCACAGATTGCATGGAGCACTGGGTGTGGTGCAAAAAACCATGAATACTGTTACGCTGAAAATAAATTTAAAAAATTAAAAAAAAAAAAGATTTTGAGAGAGAAAAAGCATGAGCGGGGGGTGGGAAAGAGTAGCAGAGGGAGAGGGAGAAGCAGACTCTCCACTGAGCAAGGAGCCCTGCAGCACAGGGCTCGCTCGATCCCAGGACCCGAAGATCACAACCATGAGCCGAAGGCAGACGCTTAACCGACCGAGTCACCAATTTTATAACCCAGTACACAGTGTTGTATCTGGCACACAGCAGGAACTCAACACACGTATGCTAAAAAACCATGAAATGAAAATTCAGTCCCGAAGATGAAGAGCCTCAAACAGCAGGCCCAGTGATGGCGGGTTCCACCTTCATTTCCTGTTCCTTTCTTTTTATCCATTCAATCTTCAATTAGTAGTGCTTCTCGGATTTCGATTTTCCTCTGACCTTGTTCCCAACTTCTTCCATCACGTGATTCATAATGTCCATAGAAAATCAGACGCAGCCTCAATTTTACATGTGGCTCTCTACTTCAAGCAGCACGTGGCCACGTTGAAAAATATGTAAAATTCCAAGCAGTGATAGACTATTACAAATAAAATATATTGGGAAAATCATGAAAAGAAAAATCCTGAGCACCTCTTACAGAATTTAAATGTCTGGATTTAGTTTGGACTTGTTTATTAAAAAGCATAAAAAATTCCAGTAGGAAGCTATCAAATTATCCAGGGCTGGGGGACATATTAAATACGCAATTTATACGCTGTGAAATTCAGTGGTTTTCTAAATAAAAACTACATTTAAAAATGCTTAAAAGAACATAATGCTAAATTCTGCTAATAAAAATATAGAAACATAAAAAATGATTCTTACTAAGTTATTGTCATCCTGGAAAGCATAATGCAGAGTTGTAATCCATTTATTATCTCCATTCACTAATACATCCCTTTCTTCACGAAAACATGCTGTCTGAAAAGGAAAAACAAAGATGTTTTTTAATCAGAGGACACTTTATATATATATGTATATATATATATTATGCAAACAATGGCTTAATGTGTTTATTATACTTTCAGTCCTAGAAAAGGAAAACGTTTATTATACTTCCTGTCCTGGAAAAGGAGTATGTTTATTATACTTCCTGTCCTAGAAAAGGAATACATCCATCTGATATGACTTTTCAACTAGTCAAGCACCCACAGAAAGTGGACAATGGGAATAGTACACTTGAGAACATTTTATATTAAAAAATACTGCTATAGTTTAAAAAAAAGAAAAAGAAAAACAGAAAAAAAGCACGCATGCATTTAAGGACCACAGTCCAACCTACCATTTAGATAATATAAACATCAACATTTTGCCATCTCTACTTCTGTTTTTATTTTTAAGAAATAAAATACAAGTAAATTGTAGTCTTCCTCTCCTTATACATTTCCCTACTTCCTCCTGATAAAATGAATAATCCTAGTGCATACTATGCTCTTCCCTTCATATGCTTTGATCACACATGTATGTGTCCAAACACCACAACTGTTTTACATTTCGAAAGTTTACATGAATGTTACAATTTTATCCACCCTGTTGCAATTTGATTACTTCTTATTCAGTGATGGCTGTTTTCCTTTCAACTGCTATGGCATTTGCTTGTCGGAATATACCAGAATTTATGTATGCAAACCCCAACCAGGAAAACATAGGTTACTTCCAATCTTGTTTTTTATGATGTTGCAATGAATATATTTGTACAAATGTACAAGAGCCTCTCCAGGGCATATACTTAGAAGTTGAAATGCTAGCTATAAGCATTTTCCACTTTACTAGACATAGCCAATTTTCTCTCCTAACTGTGTACTGTTTACTATCCTCACCCCAGTGTAGAAATCTCCCTTACCCCACCCCACATCCTCAACTGCATTTGGCATTATTGGACTCTTAAATGTGTCAATACCATGGGTGTAAAACCATACCTCAATGTTTTTTGATCAACATATTCCCAATTCTCCATGTAGATAAACAGCTCCACACATGCTTACAGGACATCTGAATTTTGTCTCTGAATTATTCACTCCCTTTGTCCATATTCTCTAACAAACTATCTTTTCCTTTTTGATTTGTAAAAGTTTTAATTTATTCTGAGACCGTATTTTCACTATTACAAAGGTACATCCGGAGATACTTAGAAATATGTGGCTAAAAAAATAATAATTTTATACAAAACATTATAATCTGTCATCTTTAAAGTTTTAACTTAAAAAATCCACTACGTCAGCAAGTTCAAGAAGAACTGAAAGGTAAAGTGAAAACCAAGTCTCCTAAGTCATACCCCATACTCACACGGTCATCTGTGTCCAGAAGTCACCATCAATAACCCTGAAAAGTATCTTCTCAGAAAATTGGTCTCTGAAGCATGAACATGCGCACGCACACACACATACACAATATCCCTGTGGTACCCCATTTCCCCTCGTTTTTCTTTTCTTTATACAAATCAGATCACAGTGCTCTGTTTTTTTTTTTTTTCCAAGTAATGATATACTGAACAGTTTGCCACACCAGTAGAGACCTACCTACTACCTAATTCTTAACGGCTGCACCATGTCCATGCACGCTGAAAAGCCATCACACAGTATTCGATTGACAGGCAGGGAGGGTTTAGTTACTTATTTGCCATAAAACAAATTCAATAGCCATGATATACAAAACAATTAACATCAATATCCCCTAATTAGGTACCTTAATTTTTTCCATGTATTCCCAAAAATTTTATTTGATCAAATGAAACTTCCAAAGTCATGCATGGAATAGCACCAGAGAAAAATTTAAAAACAAACCTTAAACCAAATAAATGGGCAGGTTGACCTGACAATTCGATTATTAAAATCCACATCATTATGCTTTGGTTCACTTTTGCGGTAAAAGAGAACCACCTGACACACTCACTGCTAAGTCGTGTTTTAGAATTTAAGTGACCTACGATTCTCATTTGCTGCTAATGGTTCTGAGTAAAGATGGTCAGAGCCAAAAAGACTCTTTGCTCCTGACTATCTTATTATGACAGCTTTCTGGAATCTCACAGACATTCCAGCTAAATTCTAGTAAACGACTGTTTAGGGACTCCAAACTCAACAAAGCTCTGAAGACGTTTTTGTCAACAGATTAAACATTAGTACATTCTCATCTATTCTAAATTGTTTCAGTGAAAAAATAAATTTAAAAAAATAAAAAATATAAACTATGACCTAAAACTTCAAACACATACAAGAGAGAAGAGTACAATCCCCTCCTCCCCACAACATCCTCATCAACCAACTTCAACAATGATGTTATTGTTCAATCCTGCTTCATGTACACCCCCACCCCCTCAACCCATCCCTCAACCCCTGTCCAGCACCTTTCACATACCACACTCCCTCCAAGCACAAGAATACGCGTGTGTACACACACAAGGTTTTTTCTGAAGCAAATCCTAGACATCGTGTTACTCTATTCATAAGTACTTAGGTATTAAACTATCCCTATTAATGCCTCAGATACTGAGTTCAAAAGCATTGTGTCCTTTTCTGCTTCAGTAGGTCACATTGTCCTCAGTCATCACAACCAGGGATGTGGGGGGTTACGACAATCTACTATAAAGAGGCTGCTACACATCCTACAAAGTACAGGACAGATCCCACAAGGAATCATCTGGCCCCAAATGTCACAAGTGCCACTGCTGAGAAACCCCTGTTTCAAATCGATATTAACCAAACCACGATGCATGCGCACAAGGTTCATCACTCCATGTGGATAAAGGCTATAATAACGTCTACTTCTACCTTTAAAAAAAAAACTAAACAATTTTTTATTACCATATAATGTATTATTTGTTTAAGGGGTACAAGTCTGTGAATCATCAGTCTTACATAATTCACAGCACTCACCATAGTACATACCCTCCCCAATGTCCATCACCCAGTTACCCCATCCCCCCACCACCTCCCCTCTTGCAACCATCAATTTGTTTCCTGAGTTTAAGAGTCTCTTATGGTTTGTCTCCCTCTCTGGTTTCATCTTGTTTCATTTTTCCCTCCCTTCCCTTATGATCCTCTGTCTTGTTTCTCAAATTCCTCCTATCAGTGAGATCATATAATTGTTTTTCTCTGACTGACTCATTTCACTTGGCAAAACACCTCTAGTTCCATCTACGTTGCTGCAAATGGCAAGATTTCATTTCTCTTGATGGCTGCAATATATATACAATATTCCACTGTATATATATATACCACATCTTCTTTATCTATTCATCTGTTAATGGACACCTAGGCTTTTTCCTGAGTTTGGCTACTGTGGACATTGCTGCTATAAACATTCAGATGCACATGCCCCTTCAGATCACTACATTTGTATCTTTAGGGTAAATACCCAGTAGTGCAATTGCTGGGTCATAGGGTAGTTCTATTTTCAACTTTTTAAGGAACCTCCATGCTGTTTTCCAGAGTGACTACACCAGCTTGCATTCCCACCAACAGTGCAGGAGGGTTCCCCTTTTAAACCATTTTTTAATATCCTCCTGTAAAAACAGAATATCTAAATAGATGAAAATGTAATAAATATGTAGGAGGGGTTACTGGAGGTCATAGAGCTTCTTCAGATGCCGTCAGAGATCAGGAGAAGGGAAGGGACTGCTGACGCACTGACAAGAGTTTGTGAATGATGAACGGGCAGCGACAGCAACCTCTGTACCCATAAGGTTAGTTAGCAACACTCAGCTGCCCAGGTACAGAAAGAGAGAGGGTATCCTGCTACCTTCCAATGATGCATGTCTCACTAATCATTTATTTGTGATATATCTTAAATGGAAATAAATGCAGCCAATAGGTCAGGGGCAGATCTTTGGAAAAGTATTTAAAGCATCAACAATGCATAGGTCAAAAATCAAGACATTTCACTGCTTATCTGTAAGTTATTAAACATCACTGGTAGGCTCAGTTTTCCAAAGCTGGATAAGTCATGGCCAGAATGAGTTTTTTTAAACACGTGTTTAAAAAAGGACTTGATAACTCAAGCACAGAAATACAATTCCACTCTACTTCAAAATGAAGCTCTATGTAAAAATTTCAGTGTCGAATTTCTTCCTAGAAGAGGAAAGTTTCAAGCAGTTTTTTTTAATTTAATTTAATTTAATTTAATTTGTGTGTGTTTCAAAAATCATTGTTTATGTACCTCACCCAGTGTTCTGTGCAATACATGCGCTCCTTCAAGTGGTTTAAGGAGAGCTCCTTTTAAATACTGAACCAAGGGCACCTGGGTGGCTCAGTGGGTTAAAGCCTCTGCCTTTGTTTGGCTCAGGTCATGATCCCAGGGTTCTGGGATCGAGCCCCACATGGGCTCTCTGCTCAGCAGGGAGCCTGCTTTCTGCCTGCCTCTCTGCCTACTTGTGCTCTCTATCTGTCAAATAAATAAATAAAATCTTAAAAAAAAAAAAAAATACTGAACCAGCTTTGTGTCCCTGAAATAAAACCCACTCAGTCATGTTGTACCCACAAGTCTTTTTACACACTGCTGAATTCTATTTGCTAACATGTTGTTAAGGTTATTTGAATCTATGTTCATGAGGCACTCTGGTCTTTAATTTTCTCTGTATGGTCCCTGTCGGGTTTTCTATCGGAATAATACAGGCTTCACAGAATGAGTGTTGCCTCTCAGGCCCCAAAGTCCACCTCCTCCTCTCTGCCTTGCAGAATCTCCTTAAATTTGTTTTCTATATAATGTCCAGGGTCTTTAAAACTGTTCTTAATGGAAGGGATAGGAAGAAATACATCTATTCCATCTCATCCCAGAAAGGGAATATATATATTAATGTTAATTGAACAAAATAATTTAATTTCCAATTCCTTGTTTTATCTTCAATTCTGCCACTTCTTCTATAATGAAAGCTAACCCAGTGATCCTTCTTTTTTCTTCTAATTCTCCAGAACATACCAACTTCATAGAAAACAGTGCGAACTTTAACTCAATTTTTAAAACTTCTAATGCTGAAACGCTAAATGGACTACAATTACGATTTCCGTGAAACAATTAGAACAGACTGATTTACTTTCTTACTAATAAGGACTTGTTGCTCCAGCTGCTGACAATGCTGTCAGCTCCCTCACGGCCTGCCTCAGTTGCAGAAGCTCTACGATCCCGAGGCCATGTCCTGCTGGAGGTGGCCCGGAGTCCAAGAAAGATTTCTAAGAGCTAATTTCTTCTTAGAGAGATCTTCGGGACCTCCAGAGCTACTGTTGAGCCTATGCAACAGTCTGATCCTCCTACAAGGTCAAATACTAAAATACTTCCACCCTGAGGCCCCTGAGTGCCCTACCCCATCTGGCCACTCACCATGATCTCCCACGGCAGGAGATCCCCAGAATCCCCACAAATCTATGTGTAATGTCAGTTCCAACCAGACCATACCAGCTATCCAGCATCAACATAAAAACACTGGCAATTCTTTCAAGAGCAGATTTTACTACCATCCTTCAATAATATAAAAAACACAAATTTAACTGTGTAATTGGCAATCAAGAGACTTCTTGGGGAGCCTGGGTGGCTCAGTGGGTTAAAACCTCTGCCTTCGGCTCGGGTCATGATCCCAGGGTCCTGGGATCGAGCCCTGAATCGGGCTCTCTGCTTGGCGGGGAGCCTGCTTCCCCCTCTCTCTCTGCCTGCCTCTCTGCCTACTTGTGATCTCTCTCTCTCTCTGTCAAATAAATAAATAAATAAATCTTTAAAAGAGAGAGAGAGAGACTTCTTAAAGGGCACATTCGAAACTCCTGCTGACTTCCACTTTGAGCAGAACATAGACAAATATGGAATAATATAAACGAGTTACGTCAAGTTGGAAATCCATTATTGCAAAATTTCTTCCTATAAAATAAACTGGCTTCCACACCTCCTTTTCACATAAACATACAAGCCCCACATCCAGTGTTCAGGCAATATGAGCTAAACATCAGGAAGTATAACTTTTATTTTTTTTTATGAATTATAACTTTTATCATCACTTTATCACAATTGTAAACTGTGGAACTTGTCTTATGTCTTAAAAATAATGCCACCAAAGGTACAATGTTACTAAATGATATTTAAGGATCTATTGGCTTTATAATTTTATAGGTCTCTAAAATTACTTCTGAAACATTATTTAAATATTCCAATAATTAGAATCTTACCTCAGCTCTTTTCAGCATTTCCCATTTGTTCAATATTTTCATGGCAAATACCTTATCTGCATTTTTTAGTTTCACTACGGCGACCTAGAAAAAGAAATACAACTTTTAATATATGACAATGTAACAAATAAAACTTCTTTCAGTCATCCATTTTTCTTTTTCCTCTCTGTAAGAAAATAAATACCAACATTATCAATGATTTCCATGCAGTTCATACTCTAAGATCCGAAATCAAATAATATTGTCAGTTGAAAAAGTTACATTAGTAAATATGTGCCAAATAAATACATGTACTTTTTAACCCTGTATCAAGTGATTGTATATTATACACTCCTTTTCAAGTTCTCTGCTCTGGAATTTAAACTCAACATCTACTATCACTAGGAAATTGACTAAAATGTACAACACTGAAATAAACTAGAGCTTAGTGAATACCACGTGCCAAATTCCAACACAATGCTATAAGGGAAGGCAGCTGCCAAAACAAGTTTCATGGGAATCAAATAATATAAAATAAACTGAAAATGATATTATTTTTCACACCACATATTCTTACCCACTGTACGACAACCCCCATCTCTCTCTCTTTCTCTCTCTCTCTCTCTCTCTCTCTCACACACACACTCACACACACACACAAACCACTCCTGAAGATCAGGTAAGGCTAACAGCTCAACAAATTGTAGACTTCACACATTCCTTTCCAACATTAAAAGAACAAATATTTTTTGTATTTTGAATTTTAGTGAGGGATCAAAAAACTGATGAATATAAATAAATAAGCCTCAACAAACTGATTCCATTGCTGTTTCTACCACTCTGCTTTGGTGTGACTAGCTAATTTCAGAGGAACCTTCCAGCTCACAGCAGACGCTGCAGGGTTGCGAAGACACAGCAGAGCAGGAGACTAAGCTTGTTTCCAGTTCCTGGGGGCTGGGAAGAGGAAGACAAGTACTACCTTAACATGAAGAAGGAGAGGACAAACTATACACAGCATGTCTTCAAATAGTTCAAAGGGCTATTGCCAAGGACAGAGAATAGGTTTAACTCAAGTATCAAAAATTTTAAAATCTTAATGGCAGATGTACATATTAGGAGCATTTAATGAATTTATATTTGGGTTAGACTGCAATAAAAGTAATATGATCATTAATTAAAATCACTGTATAATACTATATAAAATAGAATATTTCTTGATAATCCTCATAAATGGTTATAATGACGTGATTAAAATTTTTTATCAGTTAAAATGGTGGGAAAGAGGAATAGCTTGATTTCCAGTGCAATCACTTTAGTCTTCACTCATTTCTGGTCCTATCTGCAGAAATGATGGATTGGTTAAACTCTTCTCCCAGTGGGTTCATGGGTTAAAGAAAGGGGGCTGTCTATGACACAGAAACAACCTGAATTCCATCAACAGATGAATAACTAAAATGTGGCACACATATACAATGGGATATTATTCAACCATAAAAAAAGAAGGGAATTCTGGAAAATTTTAAAATCTTAACAGCAAATATACATATTAGGAGTATTTAGTAAGTTTATATTTGGATCAGATTGCAATAAAGGTATTAAGATCACTGTGTAATACTATATAAACTAGAATATGCTAAGTGAAATAAGCCAGACATAGAAAAACAACTACTGTATGATTTCATTTATATGTGGAATCTAGAAGAATCCAAGTCATAAAATCAGAGAATAGAATGAGGGTTGCCAGGGGATAGAGGAGACGTGGAGATGCTGGTCAAAGTGTACAAAGTTCCAATTGTAAGATGAATATGTTCTGGTGGTGTGATATACAGCATGGTGACTATAGTTAGCAGTCTTGTACTGTATACTTGAAAGCTGCTTAGAGAAAAGATCTTATATGTTCTCACAAATCAAAAAAAAAACCAAAAAAACCTAAGTGAGGTGATAGTAATTTACTATGGTAATCATCTTACAATATACACATGTATGAAATCATCACTTTGTACACCTTAAACCTCCACAATGTTATATGTCAATTATATCCCCAAAAAGATGGGGGAAGAATATGGGGGCTGTCATCAAGAGCCAAACCTCTGAAAGGCTAGAAACACACGTTTAGCTTCTCTGTAGACTCACACTGTACGTTGAGAGTACAGACAGACAACAGGAGCTCTGAGCTTAACACACTTATATTCAGGACATCTATCTATCTATCTATCACTTAAGCTGTCCTTATTCTGATTTAGGGAAGAATGGCTGAAAGACTCTAAGACTTAAGATTTCCCCTCCTCGGGTCCTTGTGAGAGGACTACTCCTCGCTGTGAGTCTCGCCAGCTCTCTGCGCTTGAGGATGTAAGGATCTGATGATACCTGGTGGGAGTAATAGTAGTAGTACCCAGCAGCACACACGGAGTGTGCTCTCTATGCCGGACACTCTTCTGAGACTTCTACGCAGGTCCACAATCCCTTACCTGCAAGGCTAAAGCCAGAAGGTTTTCACAGTTTATTTGGCGGCAGGTACTGACATTGGGCTAATTATAGTTTTGGGGGGTTTGGTTTTTAAATCTCATTTAGTGTAAAGACAAGCATGCTTCGTAGTAGAAGCACCAATGCATCTGCTTTACAGGTGCTGCTCCAAACCCCAACGGGAGTCCTTCATAAAACAGAGCATGTGCACTAAATCACCTTTCTAAAATCTAAACAATACTGGAACCAAAACCACCTCTGGTCTATAGCACGGTGCGGGGAATGAGCATGTCCTAAACACTCAGATGCTGAGCTAGCACGTACCGCTGCTTTTCAGGATAGCGGAAACAGCATGCCCTCTGCAGCCAGACCACCCAGGTTTTAATCCCGGCTCTGCCATTAGCGGTGTAGCTCTGGGCAAATAATGCAACCTTTCAAAAATTTCAGTTTTCTCATCAATGTAACAGTGTTACTAATAGTAATCATCTTATATAACTATCCCAAAGATGAAAATAATTCATGCAAGTAGAAAGTGCTTACCACTCAGCAGTGTCCAATAACCCCAGTTACTATAATGTGGCAGGCATCACGCTAGGAAATAAGCACATTGTAGCCCAATCTCTTAACCTTCCATTTGCCCTACCCCCCAGCACACAGCAGACATTACATATTCCAATTTATTCAATTCCTTTAACTGTGAAATGGGAAACTCCGACCTCTTCAACTTCTAATAACTTGGTACCCCTGATACATAGAAATATAGTTAGGAATATCCTCAACTGAAAATATATACAAATAAAAATGAAGCCACAACATTTATTCAAGAGTGGTGGTTTCCAACAGTAACATATTGGGAATAACTTAAATATTCTGAAAGATGAGATTTAGTAAATATGTTATGAAACAGAAAATTAATCATATTTTTAAAAATATTGTTAAAGAACACTATTTAATAAGCAAAAATGCAGAATGTATCACTGGTAAGAAGTTTATTAAGGTTTGCATACTGATTATTTTTTTCCGTATATACACAAAATACATACCTATGCCAGATGAATACAGAGAAAGGTAGGCACCAAAATGTTGAAAGATCAGGAATTTCTTGGTGATATGATTTCTAGTCCCCGTCCTGCATTTTCTGTGTGGACCAGGGACAATTTGAAGCATGGAATGGGATCATGTGACATACCACTCCTCACCCTGGTCAGGAAGTGACTACTAATTACTCGGGTGCTTAGTGTGGCTGGTGGGGGCCATGCTGCACGCATGTGGTCATCAGAGTTTCACAATGTTGCACCGTGAAAACCGTTCTCCACATTACCTATGACAGGTTCATGAGCTACCTTCAACCTTCTCTGGAATGTGGTGGGATGTAATGAAATTTTAAAATGTCAGTTCAGGAAATATTCTTGAATGCCTAAGATGATGACATAGTAAGACAAGACCATGAAGCTGATGAAATGCTAAAGTAAAATAAAACTCATCTTGCTTTTCTCCTCTAACACTACAGATCATTTTCATGTTTGTGGCAGTAGAAGGAAAAACTCAGAAAAAGAGGCTCCTCCCAGGACTGTACTTCAGGTTCTAGATTCTCAAGAACCACATTAACTGATATACAAGAGGGCATGTATGTTAAAATGCCCTTTCTTACTTAATTTGAGCAAAAGAAACAGTACTCTTGGTACGGACTGGAAGACCACAAATTTAACACAAAACAGAGATGTAGTTTTTAAAAATGCCAAACATAGACATGTCTGTTTAAAGGCTTCATACTGAAAGCACTATAATGCTGGAAAAACTGCCAACATGACAGGAAGAAGTCAGTAAGTAACGCACATCAACAAATGAGTTCTTACACACAGTTTAAGTGTCTGCACTTACAGCTACAACACATAACAGAGGATTTATCCCACTGTATTAAATAGAATTTCAATCTCCAATAACAGTTCCCACATGCAGTTCTCAAATCCAGTCTACGCTCAGCACATCCAGAATTCACCGTACCTTCTCTGACCCATTCCAACAAACCTGCCTTTGCATCCAGCCTGGACGGCCCTACCGGCCCCTCCACTTCTGCCCTTAACCTCCACGATCTATTCTCAACCCCCACGATCTATTCTCAACCCCCACGATCTATTCTCAACCTTGGCAGTCCTAGCAATCCTGTTTCGACGTATCTCAGTTGGTGACGCTCCTCTGCTCCAAACTTTCCACCCTCTCCAAGTAAAAGTCAACCTGCTATAGCTTACAAGGCCAACATATTCTGGTCTTCTGACCTTCCAGATCTCGTATGCTCTCTCCTCCTAGCTCACTCTGCTCCAAACACACTGCTCACCTGCTTCAATCCCAACTCAGGGCCTTTGCACTTATTCCCAGGTCTCAAGTAGTCTCCCCCAGTAAAATCACATGATCTGCTCTCTCAAACTGAACTGAGAAGTGTTCCTTCCTGAACAGTCACTGCTCTGTCACACGTTCTGTACCATCTCCCGCTTCCTTTTCCCCTTTGCTCTTATTATTTAACAAACAATTAAGGCATCAATATTATCAGCTTCAAGTACACTAATAAACTGATACTGAAACTCGAGTTAAACAAGGTATTATGGGGCACCTGGTTGGCTCAAGTCATGATCCCAGGGTTGTGG